ATTCTTGAGATTTAATCAATGACGTAAACATCTGGAGTACTAGTTTTGATGGGTAAAGTAATACAAATTTCAATGAGTAGCAGGGAATATTAGTACAAGCCTTGACCATTGTATCTTAGTTTAAAAAATTACGTTGACTGACACGGAAAATTATAAACTTAAATGTACCATTTTAAAAGCAGGAAAAAAGTCAAAATAGTTTTTCCCTTTGTGTGTGTGAGATTATATATATATACACACTCATACATATACACACACACTCCCCGCCCTGCTTCCTGGGACTCAGCTTGGCTTTCACTAATCACAGTGACATTTCTAACATTGTAACTGATCAAGAATGTTCTTAGTATAAACAGGACTTTTTAAAAAATATTTTTTGGAGAAAATTCTCATTTTCTGATTTCCGCACTGTCTTACTTATCTATTCTTGGCTTATTTTTTGACTCCTATAGAATCACAAAAGTGCTTTTGTATGATCAAATATGAGAACTGAAATAGGAAAACAAGGGTTCTAAATTAGGGTTATACTGCTACTCAGGAAGGCGTTACTGGATGTCAAACCTCCCAACAATTCTTACTGAAGCTTTAAGACATTTATGAATTCTCAAAAAGTATGAAAATAATGAATACTTCATATGGATAAAGCCAAAATAAAGGTGCCAGACTAATGATCTTTATGCAGCTTGACTAACTAATAAAAGGTAATCTAAGTAGCAAGTTACTGTTAAGGGCAACTTGCCTGTTCAACAGGAGAACATCTAAGAGGATAAGCTAAGCAAACATTTAACTCAGGTTTAATGACACTGAATGAAAATTTTGCAGAGTTGTCAGTTAAACTTCTTGGTAAAAATATTAAAATCAAGTTTGAAATAGGAAGACTACAACATATTCTAGCTGTATCCAAGTCGTTTGCTTCTTGAATTTCATAAAAATCAACGCCCTTGGCAAATTCATGTAGGTCTCTAAACAGATCCATCAAGTTCCTTGAGTAACAAACGGTCTCTAATTCCTGGTCTGCAATCCATCTAAACACTTCAGATCCATCACTGGCATGCTTAGCGCTCACTCTTTCCTTGAACACTGAGACCCTCTGCCAGTCATTCCTGCTGAAGGGCAAGTCAGCTTTTATTTCCCTAGACATGCCTTAAGTCTTTCATGACTCTGTCAGGAGGCCTGTCCTCCTAAAATCCATTAGAGAATACACAAGTGAACACTAGGCAGTGGTGAGTTGTGGAGAAGCTAGCCTGGAAACTGGTCTACATCTTTAGAAGGCTGAGAATCCCTGTGCTGGAAGGCAGAGATGCCTCTATATAAAGTGCCTTCCGAAACACTCAGTCATTCCTACTAGAATCCCTCCTAGACTGTCTTCTAGGAAGAGAAATATATTAATAGGTTATAAACAGGGATTTCCCTTAGAATAATAGTTTTTCCAAGAAACTTGTTAGAAGATAACTATTAAGAAAAAGAAAGGGAATCTAATATTTCTTTGAAAATGTGCCAAAAAACCAGTACTGAGGAGGCTGAGGTACCCTTTTTCAAACTGTAAAAGTCAAAATCTACATTTCTAAAACAAAGAATATCCTGATATTAAATTGAAACTAAAATGGCAGCACCCTTTGTTACTTTGATATTTCGTGTCCTTACTCTTACTTAGGAAAAAAAAAGGGTCTAACACTAGCCTTGAATCCTGCTTATCTCCTTATTGTTTAGTGCAGTAACTGTCAGACTCTACTTAAATAAATATAGCAGCTACAATATTGTAAGTGTATGGTCCTTCATGCCAGTAACCTGATACTGTAATATAATACATGTATCAGCACTTTACTAGACACTTCAGCCATCAAGAATATACATTAAACTCCCAACTCTTCTTCATATGAAAATCAATTATCTAGTTGCCAGACTGATATTTTACAGTCAGTCTTGTAAGATACATCATAGAAAAAAGAAGATTAAAATTTAGCATTCATGATATAGTTAGTGAGCAAGGGCAGGAGCAGAAGGGTCACTGTGAATTTCATGTTTAACTTAAAAAAAAAACTTTTTTAAAATAAAAAAGATTAGAAATTCTGCACCAGAAGTGCAACAATAAATAGGACAAAAATCAAGAAGCATTTGTCACTTAGCCTTTTACCTTAAAATTCTAAGCACAAGTTTTCTTGTAATTAAGAACCAATGGTAATTAATATACCAATTTGTTAGCAAAATAGAAATATAGTATACATATTCTTTCAAGTTAATCAACTTTAAACTAGCAATGCTGAATAGTGTAAGAGCACTCTAAAAAAGAAATCACTCAAAAGGTAAAACTTCATAATTTAGAAAAAATATTTTTCCTCTTAAAAAAGTCCTTCCAAATATATTTAAATTAAGGGCTCCACTCTAGCATATACGAGTGACTGAAAATTAGGTGAGAGAGTACATAGAGAAAGGGTATCTACAGTCATTCCCTAAAGTTTCCCATATGAATCTGTGCAGCTCCCATGATAAAGGAAGATGTTTACTCACACTAATCAAGCACATACCAATTAAATTTTTATCATCTTGGGTATACTGTTTTCCTCTCTTGCCCATGATCCTGACTATATTCAGTAAAATTTCAGTGTAAAAAAATCCATCTTTTATAGGAAATTTTTCTGGAGGAGATGGGAGAAGGCTGGGAGAAAAAATGTATATACTATACAAATATTACCTTTTGTAAAGTTCTTTGCAACAGTGTTGTAAATTGCATTTCAGACACTTCAAAATAATAAACATACAAAATACAGTACTTTCTTAGTTTTCTGGCAGAGGGACAAAAGATTACATGCCTGTCGGAGGACATGGGCTCAGATTTTAGGCTCAAAATACAGTGAATTGGCAATAATAGTGGATTACAGGTAAGAGAGAAACTAAAGATCTAAATCCATTAGGTTTCACGTGCAGATGGAATTCTGAAAGGCTAACAACAATGCCCACTGGAAACAATCTGTAGTATCTATACTCTGAACCAGTGCAAGAAAAAAAAAAAAAAATCAAAATGCAATTTTCATGAGTTACAAAGTGCAAAGCTCCCCTGAATCCAATGTTACTGATAAACTCGGTTTTGATAGCTTTATAGTACTTTTTAATACCTTAAAGTATAATCAATAAAACAAAAGTTTTGTAAAACAATTTCCCACATTTCAGTGATTTAACTGATTTAAAATGATCAAAGTCCTAACTTCCTTTGTTACTATCACCTTAATTTTAAAAGGAAAGTTACACTGGTGATACATTAGCAAAAGTTTTAAAATATCATCTTGCATTTTCCTGATTCTTTTTAGTAAATGAAAATGGGCAACTAGCCAATATGATTCTTCAATAAACACAATCTATTTGCAAATAATTTAAATATGTTAACCTATTCACGATTATTTCTTATATAAAAGTTCAACTTTATTTCTAATATTCAAGTTGGACTCATTTAGGCAATTTCACTTCATTTTCATTATGATTTTTTTTTTCTTTTGAGACAGAGTTTTGCTTTTGTTGCCCAGGCTGGAGGGCAATGGTGCAATCTTGGCTCACTGCAACTTCCGCCTCCTGGGTTCAAGCAATCCTGCCTCAGCCTCCCGAGTAGCTGGGATTACAGACGTCCACCACCATGCCCAGCTAATTTTTGTATTTTTAGTAGAGACGGGGTTTCACTATGTTGGCCAGGCTGGTCTCGAACTCCTGAGCTCAGGTGATACACCTGTCTCAGCCTCCCAAACTGCTAGGATTACAGGCATAAGCCACAGTGTCCAGCCTTTTTTCATGATGAATTTTAAAAGATATGCTTTAAAACTGAAAATTACAAAACTTTCCTTCTGAAATTAAGGCTGTATTCTTTGCCCTTTTAAATTATGGAGGTGCCTGTTCCTCCTCCTATCCATGGTAAAGATGCAAACAGACACAACTTTCCTTTAAAACTGCTTATTGCACTAAAAGATAGCAAAAACAAGTTGTCAGTTCTTAAAATAAACATGATTATATTTTTATAAAAGATGCTGCCAATACAATTCTATAATTATTAAAGCACTATTCTAATAAATATAAAAGAAAAGGAAGCTATACTTCCAAACACATACATATGTGTTTATATACACACACATACATATATATATATAAAATATATGAAAATCACATTAAGGTATGAGAGGCAGCAAGTAAACTATCAAAAAACAGAACAAAAAAGTCCCTCAACAACCCCTTCTCTCTCTCTATTCAATTTCAGAGGTCTCAACCCCTACAGAATTCTAATCTTTTAAAATATTTACCCTTTATAAAAGCTTTAAAGAATTTCTGTGTATAACCCATAGAAACAGAAGGTTTCAGAAAACACATCACTTAACAGAGAGAAAGAGTTACAACTTCTGATAGGTTTTATATTTATAGCAGCTTTAACAAACTCACTAAAGAAAAAGAATAGCAGGCCAGGTGCGGTGGCTCACGCCTATAATCCCAGCACTTTGGGAGGTCGAGGCGGGTGGATCACAAGGTCAAGAGATCGAGACCATCCTGGCCAACATGGTGAAACCCCGTCTCTACTAAAAATATAAAAATTAGCTGGGTGTGGTGGCGCATGCCTGTAGTCCCAGCTACTCGGGAGGCTGAGGCCGGAGAATCGCTTGAACCCGAGAGGTGGAAGTTGCAGCGAGCTGAGATGTTGCCACTGCACTCCAGCCTGGTGACAGAGCAAGACTCTGTCTCAAAAAAAAAAAAAAAAAAAAAAGGAAAAAGAAAAGAAAAAGAATAGTTCAGGTTGCTACTGCTTATATACAAATTGCGCAAATGTATGTTCAGAGTGGGAGGGGAGAGACACACTCTCACAAAAAGTTATTTTACGTATATATATGTGTGTATGTGTCTGTGTATGTATGTATACTATATATATATAAAAGTTTGATTCTTAAGACAGCAATATCAAGAGTTGAGAACTCAGAATCATGTAGGAGATAGGAGTCAGGAATAGGGTATGCAAAATAAAAGTAGAAATCTAGTTTGCCATATTTTACATTCAAAGGAACCAGGTAGGTGAATGTTTGAATGTCACTGGTAGGATTAGGGAAAAAATGTAGGTGATGAAGGCAAGGGAAAAAGAGAAATAAAAGCGGTAGTGCTAGTAGAATAAAAGGGAAAGGAAGTTCCCCAAATGGAATGAATTCTAAAATATATACACAGACACATATATATCTATTATCAATCCAGATCCAGATATATATGCATATGAAGTATGGGTGTATATATTTTAAAAACACACAGACACCTTTTACAAGAATATATGAATGCACATTAATTTTTTGCACATAATTTTGAAAAATCACTTTGATTATTCATGAAGGTGTATATTTTTTAAACCATCATTTACTTTTTCGATACTTTTTTTGCAAAGATAGTTGTGCTGCCAAGCAACTTGAGGTAAAGGCATTAAAAGGGTTAGACTACAAGAAATGAAAACAAAACAATTGCGATACTTCCTACAGGAGACCGCACAAAAAGCAGTTGGCTGGTTTCATATTGCATAATGATGCTGTGTTCCTTGATGAAGTAAACAATCTTCCTTGTATTAACATAAGGATCAGACCTTGGCCCCCACACAGTGTTGGTTTCTGTATGGCTGGAGGTGTCCTTACTCAATTGACTCCACTGGAAACATACGTTGTATGTCAATTCATCTTTCAGTGCTTCCTCTCAGAGAATATACTTGGACTATTTAAGCAAAGTACATTGTGCGTAAGGTATCTTGGTGAATCTGTACAGCCTTGGCAAGAGCTTGTGGATCTCGCCCATTGCTCTGTCCTGAAACGTGACTTCCTTCAGCACTGTAAGAGAAGTGGCAATGAACACAAAAACAAACTTTCTATTCTGATGTAATGATTCTGATAAATACTATTTGTTGTAGAAAATTTCAAAATTATTAACAAATAAGAGACTGGTGTAACAATTTATGTGTCCATCACTCAGCTTCAATCACTATTAATTCAAGGTCAATTTTGTTTTACTTCTCTCATCTCCCCAGAATTAATTAGAAGCAAACCCAGACATCATATCATTTTGTCTATCTATCGGTATCTATCACTTTATAACCAATAATCTCTCCTTTGCTTTAATGTGGTAAAGCAACTAAGTTACTATATCATTCTATTACTAATGAACTTAGACAACATATTTCAATAGGAAACCTTGGGCAGTCAGTTCTGACTGTCGTCACTTTTCACATGGATCACTGACTCCTCTAATAGCTTGGGGAACTTGAAAATCCTAACATGCAGACAATATTTGGATTTGGGTGAGAACCTGTTATGTTTTTATATTACCTGTCATGTTCTTTGTCCACAAGATGATATCTGGCTCTAAATGCTACCAGGTGAGCGTAATACGCTGGTGCAGGTATAGAAACAGATCGTGTACAGCGTACATAAGTATGGCAGAGCTGGTAAGTTAGCAGCTGAAGTTCATCTGCAGTGAAGCAGTTATCATCCCATAAAACATGATAGTGTGAAGGACGACTGGTACCCTATAGAGAAGGCAATGACATACACTGTTGAATTTTGAACTCTTTTTGTTTTGTTTTGTTTTTTAAGACAGAGTCTTGCTCTGTCGCCCAGGCTGGAGTGCAATGGCATGGTCTTGGCTCACTGCAACCTCCACCTACCGGGCTCAAGTGATTCTCGTGCGTCAGCCTCCCCAGTAGCTGGGATTACAGGCATGTGCCATCATGTTCAGCTAATTTTTTGTATTTTTAGTAGAGACGTGATTGTGCCACGTTGGCGAGGCTGGTATCACCTGACCTCAAATGATCTGCCTGTCTCAACCTCCCAAAGTGCTGGAATTACAGGTGTGAGCTATTGTGCTGAGCCCAATTTTGAACTTCTTAATAAATATTTAACACCAAGTCACATAAAAAACAGGTTTGGCACTTTGGGAGGTCAAGGTGGAAGGGTAGCTTGAGGCTAGGAGTTCAAGACCAGTCTGCACAACACAGTGAGACTCCATCTCCACAAAAGTTAAAAATAAAAATTAGCCAGGTGTGGTGGCATGCACCTGTAGTACAGCTACTTGGGAGGCTGAGGCAGGAAGATCACTTGAGCCCAGGAGGTCAAGGCTGTGGTGAGCTATGATTCCACCATTACACTCCAGCCTGGGTGACACAGTGAGACTCTGTCTCAATAAATGAAATGAAATGAAATGAAATGAAATAAAATAAAATAAAATAGAAATGTAAAGCTGGGAAGATGTATAAAGAACAGTTTTTAGGCCGGGCACGGTGGCTCAAGCCTGTAATCCCAGCACTTTGGGAGGCCGAGACGGGTGGATCACGAGGTCAGGAGATCGAGACCATCCTGGCTAACACGGTGAAACCCCGTCTCTACTAAAAAATACAAAAAAAAACTAGCCGGGCGAGGTGGCGGGTGCCTGTAGTCCCAGCTACTCGGGAGGCTGAGGCAGGAGAATGGCGTAAACCTGGGAGGCGGAGCTTGCAGTGAGCTGAGATCCGGCCACTGCACTCCAACCTGGGCGACAGAGCGAGACTCCGTCTCAAAAAAAAAAAAAAAAAAAAGAACAGTTTTTAGTCTCTGTGAGATATTCTTGGTTATTTGCTGACTACAGCAGAAGTTTCAAACTGATATCCTAAAGGAAAACTGTTCAGGCTGGGCATGGTGGCTCATGCCTATCATCTCAGCACTTTGGGGAGGCTGAGGTGGGAGGACAGCTCAAGCCCAGGAGGTTGTGACTAGCCTAGGCAACATAGGAAGACCTCATCTCTACAAAAAGATTTTAAAAATTAGCCAGCTGTGGGCTGGGCGCGGTGGAGATTGAGACCATCCTGGCCAATATGGTGAAACCCCGTCTCTACTAAAAATAGAAAAATTAGCTGGGCGTGGTGGTGCCTGCCTGTAAGCCCAGCTACTCAGGAGGCTGAGGCAGGAGAATCGCTTGAACCAGGGAGTTGGAGGTTGCAGCGAGCTGAGATTGCACCACTGCACTTCAGCCTGGTGACAGAGCGAGACTCTGTCTAATAAATAAACAAACAAATAAATAAATAAATAAGCAAGCAAGCAAGCCAGGTGTGGTGGTGTGGACCTGTAGTCCCAGCTAGTTGGGAGGCTGAGGCAGGAAGATTGCTTGAGCTGAGGAAGTCAAGGCTGCAGTGAGTGGTGATTGTGCCACGGCACTCCAGCCTGGGTAACAGAGCAAGACCCTGTCTCAAATAAATAATAAAACAAAAACAGGCTGGGTATGGTGGCTCACGCCTATAATCCCAGCACTTTGGGAGGACAAGGTAGGTGGATCACTTGAGGTTAAGAGTTCGAGACCAGCCTGCCCAACATGGCAAAACCCCCTCTCCACTACAAATACAAAACAATGAGCTGGGTGTGGTGGCATGTGCCTGTAGTCCCAGCTACTTGGGAGGGAGAGGCAGGATAATCGCTTGAACCTGGGAGGTGGAGGCTGCAGTGAGCCGTGACTGTACCACTGCACCCCAGCCTGGGTGACAGAGCGAGACTCTGTCTCAAAAAAAAAAAAAAAAAAAATTAAAAATTAAAAAAAAAAAAAAAAGGAAAACTGTTCCCTAAGGTTTCTGGCTAAATATATTGAAGAAAATATTCCTATCCTGAAGATTCATAATGGTCATTTGCATATCAATGGTCTTCAAAAGTTCCATAATAAAAAAAATCTGTTTAACGGCATTTCTAAAACTTAACTTGAACAGAGACTCTTTCACCTCTGTGATTTTTAAAATACAGTCATCTGGATGCAATGTGATATTTATTAAATATGGGAAGAGGCCGGGCGCGGTGGCTCAAGCCTGTAATCCCAGCACTTTGGGAGGCCGAGACGGGCGGATCACGAGGTCAGGAGATCGAGACCATCCTGGCGAACACGGTGAAACCCCGTCTCTACTAAAAAATACAAAAAAAAACTAGCCGGGCAAGGTGGCGGGCGCCTGTAGTCCCAGCTACTCGGGAGGCTGAGGCAGGAGAATGGCGTAAACCCGGGAGGCGGAGCTTGCAGTGAGCTGAGATCCGGCCACTGCACTCCAGCCTGGGCCACAGAGCCAGTCAAAAAAAAAACAAAAAACAAAAAACAAAAATAAATATGGGAAGAAACACTAGGTTAAAATATATAATCCAGTTATATAGGATTTATTTATTTATTTATTTAGAGACAGGGTCTGCAGTCTGGACCTCCCAGGCTCAGGGGATCCTCCCCTCAGCCTTCGGAGTAGCTGGGATTACAGGCACACATCACCACACCCCGCTAATTTTTGTATTTTTTATAGAGATGAGGTTTTACCATGTTGCCCAGACTGGTCTCCAACTCCTGGGCTGAAGCAATTCACCTGCCTCGGCCTCCCAAAGTGCTGAGATTACAGGCCTGAGCCTGATATATATAGGTTTTAATCCCTAGAAGATACGATTAACTTTTTTTGCTTTTATTATTTTTCATAGACACATAATAATTACACATATTTATGAGGTACAGTGTAATATTTTAATACATATATATAATGTTTAATGATCAAATCAGGATAATGAGGATATCTACACCTCAAACATTGTGTCAAGAAAATTCCAAACCCACTCTCCTGGTTATTTGAAAATATATAGTAAGTTGCTAATTATAGCCATCCTATAGTGCTATAGAATATTAGAACTTATTCCTCCTATCTAGTTGTAATTTTGTATCTGTTAACCAGTCTTTGGTAATCCCCCTCCCTTTCCTGCCTCTAGTAACTACTATTTTACTCTATACTTGTGTGACATCAGCTTTTACAGCTTCCACCAGCGAGATCATGCAGTATTTCTCTCTCTGTGGTTGGCTTATTTCATATAACATAATGTCCTCCAGGCTCATCCACGTTGTCACAAATGACAGAATTTCATTCTTTTGCGTGGCTGAAGAGCATTCCATTGTGTATAAATACCATATTTTCTTTATCCATTCATCATCTGCTGATGGACACTTAGGCTGATTCCATATCTTGGCTATTATAACAGTACTGCAATAAACATGGGGATGCAGATATCTTCTTGACACACTGTTTCCTTTCCTTTGCATATATACCCAGTAGTGGGATGGCTGGATCATATGGTAGTTTTAATTTTAGTTTTATGAGGAACTTCCACACTGATATCCATAACGGCTGTACTAATTTACATTGCCAACAATAGTGTATATGAGTTCCCCTTTCTCTGCATTCTTTGTCTTCTTGATAATGACTATACTAATCTGGGTGAGATGATATCTCATTGTGATTTTAATTGGCATTTCCCTGGTGATTACTGATGTTGAACATTTTTACATATACCTGTTGGTCCTCTCGATTACTCTCTTGAGACATTTGCCCATTTTAAAATCAAATTATTTGTTTTTTTGTTGTTCAGTTGTTTGAGTTCTTTGTCTATCCTGGATATTAATACCTTGTTTTTTTGAGACAGAACCTTGCAGCCTCGACCTTCTGGACTCCAGTGATCCTCCCACCTCTGCCTCATGAGTAGCTGGGACAACAAGTGTGTGCCAGCATGCCCAGCTAATTTTTAAATTTTTTGTACAGATGAGGTCTCACTATGTTGCCCAGGCTTGTCTTGAACTTGTGGGCTCAAGCAGTCCTCCTGCCTCAGCTTCCTAAAGTGCTGGGATTACAGGCGTGTACCATGTGCCCAGCTGTTTCTATGTTTTTGATGTAAATGTTTATTGCTATAAACTTCCCTCTGAATTCTGTTTTTGTTCTATCCCACAAGGTTTGGAATGTTGTATTTCTATTTTCATTTGTTCCAAGAAATCTTAAAAATTTCTTCTTAATTTCTTCACTGACCCACTGGTTGTTCAGGAGCATATTGTTTAATTTCCATGTAAAAGATATTTGAGGCCGGGCATGGTGACTCATGACTGTAATCCTAGTACTTTGGGAGGCCAAGGCGGGCAGATAATTTGACGTCAGGAGTTCGAGACCAGCCTGGCCAACATTAAATAAAATTAAAAAAAAACTGAGGCTGGGTGCAGTGGCTCACATCTGTAATCCCAGCGCTTTGGGAGGCCAAGGTAGGTGGATTGCTTAAACCCAGCCTGGGTAACATAGTGAAAAACCTTGTCTCTACAAAAAATGCCAAAATTAGCCAGGCATCGTAGCATGTGTCTGTGGCCCTAACTACTCGGGAGGCTGATGTGGGAGGATCGCTTGAGCCCAGGAGGTGAAGGTTCCAGTGAGTCATGATCTCACCAGAGTGTAACCCTGTCTCAAAAAAAAAAAAAAAAAAAAAAAAATCAAGTATCTTTTTCTTTCTTTTGAGATAAGAGTCTCACTCAGTCAAACAGGCTGGAGTGTGCAATGGTGTGATCTTGGCTCTGTAACCTCCACCTCCTGGGTTCAAGCAATTCTCCTGCCGCAGCCTCCTGAGTAGCTGGGATTACAGGCGCCCACTACCACACCCGGCTAATTTTTGTATTTTTAGTAGAGACAGGGTTTTGCCATGTTGGCCAGCTGGTCACGAACTCAAGTGATCCACCCGC